GGAGGTGGGCACGCACGCGCTCTGGCCGTGGGGGCCTTGATGCCTCTCTGAGATAAAAGCAAAAACAGCTCCTCGGCTGCACAGCACTTTACAGTTTGCATTTTTCTATCCCACGCATGTGTTTAATTATATCCCTGCCTTATTCCTGGAGGAGTTTAAGGCACGAACCCTCCATTCGTTCTTTGCAGTGCACTTTGGGGTGGGCAGGCACAGACTTAGCTCATTGGCAGCAGAGGAAACTGAGGTTCAGAGGGGTTTTGTCAAGATCATGGAGCCAGCGTATTAGGGTCAGGACAGCAGGCAGCTTCCAGAGTGCTCCCTCTCGTGGAGGTTCAGAGCTCGCATTACCTGGGGGTGTCCCAGGCCACCTTGCCCTGTCATGGGCTCAGTGGATTGAGCTTGTCACCTCCTGGCTCTTTTAGGCCCCAGTCCAGCCTCAATCCTTTTGTCAAAAGTTCCTGAGGAAGGCTCAGGGGAGCAGTAAGATGAGGAATCCCATGGGAAGTGTGGGGGAGGGAAGGGGATTGAAGGAGGAAGGGGATTGAAGGCTGGGGGTAAAGGGAAGGGTGGTGAGGGCTGCTGTGAACCCCCGTCTGTGCCCCAACTCTGCAGCCTGGCCAAGAGGGCCTGAGGTCTGGGGAGGGCTTGAGGGGTCTGCAGGGGGCATGGCAGGGAAGAGAAGGGACTGCCCAGCTGATAGCAGGTGACAGGATGACTTGGAGCTGGGCTGCTGCTGCTGCTGCAACAAAGGAGGGGAGCAAGGGGGGACGACGAGGCTTGGCAACCACTCCCCCAGCTGCTCTGGGTTTGAAGCTGAGCCACTTTGCTGGCTCCAGCACAGCGCGAACAGGTGGCAGCAAGATTGGCACAGCCAGGAAAATCCATCTTGCAGAGGCCAGCAAGCAGCAGAGCGTGAGAGGGTCAGCCAGACGGAGGGGGAGGACGCGGAAGGAGAGGAGGGGAGGGGCTGCAGGGAGGGGACCCTCCACTCCTCTCCACAGGCCCTACCATACCATGGGCAGGTCCCCCTGGTCCCTCCCCGACACATCGATATGTGTCCACACAGCCACTTCCATACACCCAAACCAAGGCACTCAGGAACCCTCAGGGACTGTGGCTGGCCAGGTCTCCTACCTGGAAGGTGCCCATGGGACACCTCCTTTCCCTGTCTGCCCTGCTGCCCATACCTTCCAGCCAGGTCTCCTCTCTGGCTTGTGCCAGCTGGGCTGCTTGGCACAGGGGACACCTGATGGGGATGGAGGGAGGCACCTTGGTCTCCCTAGTGGTCCCCCAACTCCAGGTATGGCAGGTCAAAGTTTTTTCCCTGGCAACTGTCAGGATGGGGAGCCCCAACACATGCTGAGGTGCCTGGTGGATCCAGCTGGGAACAGGCTCACTGTGCAGTGCTGGAACCATGACCACACAGGCTCTGCCAGAACCCCATGAATTCTGCCCATGAGTGAGGCGCCTTTTGCCACCCAGCAACTGCAAGGCTGTGTGCGGTGCTACCTAAAACTCAGCTGATGCCCAAATCCACCAGGTGGCTCTGGCCTTCACTTAGTCTCCATTTGGTAAATGTCTGTGAAGGGTCTACCCTGGGCCAAGCACTGTTGCAGGTGTGGAGGACGTGGCAGGAAAGAAGACAGGTTCATGGCACTTACATGGTAGAGGACCAAGACAAACAAATGGAGAATGTCATTTTAGATAGGGATAGGTATGAGTGGAAATAAAGTGACATCAAAAGTAACTGGAGAGGGCAGGCCCGGTGGCGCACTGGAGAGTGCGTCGCTTGGGAGCGTGGCGGCGCTCCCGCTGAGGGTTTGGATCCCATGTGGAGACCGGTTCCCGCTCACTGGTTGAGCGCAGTGTGGGCGCAACACCGAGGGTTGCGATCCCGTTGCCGGTCCCCGGTACAGGCGCGACACCGAGGGTTGCGATCCCATTACCAGTCAGTAAAAAAGACAAAAAGGAAAAAAAAAAAAGTAACTGGAGAAGTGGCCTTCTAGATGGGGGGGAGGGGGTGTCCAGGGAGGGCATCTCTGAGGAGGCGGCATTTGGGCTGAGACCTGAATGAGGAGCCCATCATAGAAAGGGCTGGTGAAGAGTGTTCCAGGCAGCAGAAACAGCATGTGCAAAGGCCCTGAGGCAGAAAGTATGTTGGCTTGTTTGAAGGACAGAAGGAAGAACAGTGAGATCAGGAGCAGGCAGGGCCTGAAGGCCATGGGGAGGAGATGATCCTCAGTGAGATGGAGGAGAAATCCATTGGGTGGCCGTGGGGAGGACAGACTAGACAAAGTGGGGTGTGGAGAGAGGCATCAGGAGAGCAGGCAGGGGTGGCTGCTGTTGGCCAAGCAGGACGGGTGTGCTGGACCGGAGTGGAGGGGAGGAGGTGGGGAGCAGCTGGACTTTGGTGTGTTTTGGAGGTTGAGCCTGCAGAACCCACTCTGGAGTTGGATATGGAAAGGAAGATTTAAAGATAGGTTTGGGGTTGAGCTGTGGGGGTGAATGCTCCCCAGGCTCAGGAGGGCTGGGGACTCCTGGGGAGTTAGGGAGGGTACATAGAAGATATTCTTTCTCCTTTTTCAAAAGTACAACACAAAGGGGATTCCCATGTTCCTTACGCGTTTTGAGCCAACCTAGCTGAGAGCCCCGCTGGAGAGACTGAGTGCTCATCCCTACCCCACAGACATGTCCACCCAGACCCCCGCTCTCCCGTGCATTCTGAGTAAGTCGTGTCCCTTCTCGAAGATGGACAGCACTTTACAAACTCCATATGTTCAGTTTTCTTTTATTATTTTAATTTCTAAATACTTGGGAAGGTTTCCAGCATTGGCTTCTGCTGTGGTACCGGTGCCAGCAAACACACTTCGCTCTCTCCCCCTCCTCCTCATCCCTTTCTTCTTCCAAACCACAAAGATTTCTTCCAACCTGGAGGAGAACTGGGATTCAAGGAGAGAAATTCAGCCAGCAAGTGGGTGCCCCATGGGCCTGGGCAAAGATGCAGCTGCCTAAGAGGCAGCATGTGTGCGTGTGTGTGGTGGGGGGCTCTAAAGACACCGTAAAAGGGCCTGTCACAGGATGGGAACCGCAGGCTTCTCTCAGGCCCAGTCCTCAGAGTCACCCAAGACCTTTCCCCTGCCTGAGTCCCACAGAGTCCCATGCCCCCTAACCCCAACTTAGTTTCCAACTCGCCAGCACTCACCTCCCCCAGCAGATCTGGTTTTCAGACACCTCGGGGGATTTGCTCTGTTCTTCCTCCCGCCTGGCATACGCTCCTCTCCAAACCTTTACAAAGCTCACCCTCTCTTACCCCAATGTCACCTCTTCTGTAAAGCCTTCCCTGCATGCCCAATCTGAGTGGCTTCCCTGAAAGTGCTTTATAGTCCTTGTCACTAGCTGAAATCTCATGTGAGGCTTTGATGACGTGTTCCCATAAGAGCAGGGACCCTATCTGTCTTTGCTCACTGCTGTGCTCCAGGGACGGGAATAGTACCTGGCATGGAGTAATATGTCATTTTTTTTTTTTTTTTTTTTTAAGTTTTCCTTTTTTTTTTTTTTTTTTAAGTTTTCCTTTTTTTTTTTTTTTTTTAAGTTTTCCTTTTTTTTTTTTTTTTTTAAGTTTTCCTTTTTTTTTTTTTTTTTTAAGTTTTCCTTTTTTTTTTTTTTTTTTAAGTTTTCCTTTTTTTTTTTTTTTTTTAAGTTTTCCTTTTTTTTTTTTTTTTTTAAGTTTTCCTTTTTTTTTTTTTTTTTTAAGTTTTCCTTTTTTTTTTTTTTTTTTAAGTTTTCCTTTTTTTTTTTTTTTTTTAAGTTTTCCTTTTTTTTTTTTTTTTTTAAGTTTTCCTTTTTTTTTTTTTTTTTTAAGTTTTCCTTTTTTTTTTTTTTTTTTAAGTTTTCCTTTTTTTTTTTTTTTTTTAAGTTTTCCTTTTTTTTTTTTTTTTTTAAGTTTTCCTTTTTTTTTTTTTTTTTTAAGTTTTCCTTTTTTTTTTTTTTTTTTAAGTTTTTCTTTTTTTTTTTTTTTTTAAAGATGACCGGTAAGGGGATCTTAACCCTTGACTTGGTGTTGTCAGCACCACGCTCAGCCAGTGAGCTAACCGGCCATCCCTATATGGGATCCAAACCCGTGGCCTTGGTGTTATCAGCACCACACTCTCCCGAGTGAGCCACAGGCCGGCCCTACTTTGTTTTTAATTGACACATAATTGTACATATGTACAGAGTACAGTGTGACATTTTGATACATGTATACATTGTGTAATCAATCAAAGTTTTTACCAAATCCATCACCTGAAACATTTATCATTTCTTTGTGGTGAGGGCATCAAAATTCTCTCTTCTGGCTATTTTGAAATATACAAAACATTATTGTTAACTTAATCACCCTGCTGTGCCTTAGAACACCAGAACTTCTTCCTTCCATCTCATCGTGACTTTATGCATCTTGTTGAATGAATGAATGGGTTTCTGGGTTCCCTGCCCATCTCCTCATTGTGCCAACTCCCATCTGTGGAAGGGAAATGGGCTATTCTGGGTAACTCAGATTAGGTTTGCAGGGGAACAGCCCCATTCTTGGCCACATGTGCCAAGAGCAGAACATGTGAACTCATTCAACTTTTTACCCCCATTTTAGATGCAAGAATAAAGGAACTTGCCCAGAATAAGCATATAATAGAGGAGCCATGATTCTGATTCCTGGCTTTTCTACCCCACTGGGTTGTAGGTGGACCACAGACAGATGACCAATTTTCAAAGAATTGTAATAATAAAGTGCACTTAGCACCATGCACTGTTGACCATAAGTCAACGCCACTTTGACGACTCAGAAGGTGATGATTTCAGAGCCCTGTGGGGCACGGTCCTGCTGAGTCCTGGTCTCGTGGTGTGGGGCCGCACCTGTGCACAGCGTGGCACCAATAAAGCCACGTGACCCTACACCGTGCCCTGGGGGCTGCTTTCCAGGCTACAGCTCTGGTCTCTGCAGACTGTCCTTTGCTTTTTTGTAGGGAACAAAGGAGGACAGTGCCTTGATGTGGGATTTCCTGTGGTGTGTAATCTTGACCAGCGGGAGTCTCCAAAACCAGCCACAACCAGGAGGAAATGGCAACAAGACTGGGTTCTTTAGAGTGGCACTTCTGTTCCTTCTGCCTGCAGTGCTCCTTCCCAGGACAGCTTGGAAGCCTACAGCCTCACCTCCTCCATGCCTGTGCTCACGGCGATGCTTTTGGAGGCTTGAGCCAGAGTGTCTGCAAGGCAGCGCCCACGGCAGGCACTGCAGTTCCTTTCCCTGCCTCCCGTTCCTGCAGATCACTGACCGCCATCTGACACACCATGTACTCTACTTATTTTGGCAACTTCTCCCCACCCCCATCCCTGCTACACTGCAAGCCACACAAGGGCAGGGCTGTGCCTGCATGGCTCTCTGCTGTCCCGGCACCTAGAACGGTGGTTGGCACACAGTGGCAGTTCATGCTTGTGCAATGACTACACCCCAGACTTCTGTCATTCACATTCCGCCTTTACAACTTTGGTCTTACCCGCACCCCACTTGTGCTGTTTAATATTGTGCTTTCCATCAGCCCCCTTTAAAAAACTAAAAGAAATGAAATGTGAAAGGAAGAATTTTTATCACTGCCGTGAGTGGAAAACCAATACCACTTGCCATAAATAGAAGACAACTGTTAAAATAAATGCCATGAAAACAAAACAACGTGATGAAATTTGAGCAAGAGCCTGTTGTCTGCGGAAGGCAGTAAGCCTGAGGCCGGCCCCTCTGCTAAACGAGGGAGGCTGCAAGACCTGGGGAGGCCTCAAAGACAGCTAGCACTAAACCAAGACTTTGTCCGTGATGAGGTCTGAATACGAAGTGACTTTCTCAACACATGAGATGACTTAACTCCTTTGCTGGCACCTCCTAATATCATCCCCCCGACATGGTCATCACCTGCACTTTGGTGGACATAGAACCTGGAACACTTGATAGGGCTGGGTGCATAGGGACTGCTCCCCAAATGCACCTGGCACTTGGGGTCATGCTAGCCCCTAAGGTGCCTTTGTGAGAATTAGGAAAAGATGCCATCTCCAGGTGGAGGTGGCCCACGGGCACAGGGCTGGACAACTGGACGGTGCCTTTGTGGACAGAAAGGTGCCCTGTGCCTGGGGTTCTGCCTTCCTGCAAGGCTCTCAGGGCCTGTCGGTCTGTATCTCCATCTTGGCTTCCAGTCCTGCTTGAGCCCCCATTAGTTTTGTCTGCCCCTGTCTTCCTCACCTGGGACTGCCTTCTTCATGCGTGTATCTTCCATCGCTCAGCAGTGTCCTGCATACGACTGGCTTTCAGGAAACATTCGTGGACTTGAATAGATCAGTGATTAATCAAACTCCAAATAGCCAATACTTCTTCCTGTCCAGATAAATAATATCAAAAAATTTATCTCCTCTCTCAGCCCTGGCTCTTTCCTGAAGTTTTCCCGGCACCAGGTGGGTGGTTGGGTATTCTCATCTTCCACATCCTTTGGAAGAATTTTGTCTTCCTGATTCCTGAGTTCTCCTTCCTGATAGGTTCTCTGTCTGGTCCAGCCTGCAGGGAGCTTCAGTTAGAATGTTTTACACCAAGGTCAAGGGTTCAAATCCCCATACCAGCCAGCTGCCAAAAACAGCAACAAAAGAATGCTTTGTGTTGCAAGTGACAGGAAAACCCAAGTCGAATTGGTTACATCATAGAGGAACTTATTGAGCCATACAGTCTTAAAGTCTAGAGATAGTGTTAGCACCAGGTGAGGATTGGTCTAGCAGCTCCAACGATGTCACCAAGGACCTAGTTTCTCTCCACCGCTCTTGTCTGGCTTCCATGTGTGAGTCTCATCTCCAGGCTCCTGACGGAGCCTCTGCTCCTCCCACCTTGAGCAGTTCCAGGCTGTCCCCTTCCTGGTAGCAAAATAGCTGCCCCCATCCAAGTCTTATACCACATCCTTCAGGTGGACAATGAAGATCTCTCCCAGCAGCTTCCATGAAAGACGGAAGAAAGCTTGCTCTCCCAGAAACACTAGGAATATTCTCATGTCTCATGTCTCTGATTGGGTTACCCGAGCATCTCTGAACCAACAGCTACAGCCAGGAGGAGGGGATATGCTGAGTGGCCAATCAGAGTCTGCTTCTGAAGGCGGGTGTGGAATCAGCTCACCAATCATAAGTTGAGAATGGTGGAGGGCTGTTCCCAAGGGGAAAGCAGATGAATGTTCCCAGAAGGAAAAGGGATGGATGCGGAGGCCAAGCCACAGGTGGCCTGCACGTGGGGGAGGTGAGCCAAGCCGGCCAGCCATTGCGAGACTTGTGGGACTTTTTTTTTTTCCTTTTTGTCTTTTTTACTGACTGGTAACGGAATCATAACCCTCAGTGTCGCGCCCGTACCGGACCAGGACCGGCAATGGGATCGTAACCCTCGGTGCTGCGCCCACGCCTCGCTCAGCCAGTGAGTGGGAACCGGTCTGTATGTGGGATCCGAACCCTCGGCAGGAGCGCCGCCACGCTCCCAAGCGGCGCACTATCCAGTGCGCCACCGGGCCGGCCCTTTGTGGGACTTTTATAATGGCTTCTGTTTCTCCCCAGGATGAAGTCAGGTGGGACTACAGGCGGGGACCAGTCTGTGAACCCAGGTGCTGCTGGGTCCAAAAAGGACAAGGGTGAACCCTGTGTGTCCCTTACTCACAGAGACATAGAAGGTTAGGACGGGAGGAGCCTAGCGTTATCAGCTCAGGGTCTTAACTGAGGATCCAACTGAGAAACCTCCCAAATCACTTGTCAGAATCGTGGGGTTCTGTGTGTACTTTTCTGGGCAGAATACCAACAATTTAATGACGTCTCAAAGGGGTATATGGCCTAAAAGAAGTTCACTGAGAGGGACAACTTGCTCAATAAGTAGTTGAACAACCAGCTGGTGACAGAATCCAGAAGACAACCCAGGTCTCCTACGTCTCGCCCCTAACTTCCACTCCCTTCGCATGTGGGTGAGATGTCAGCACCAGCGTTCTCCTGTGTGCAAGGCACCCCACAGGTCTCACCGTGTTTGGTCCAAGCTTCCTCCTGTGATGTGGGAAGTAGCTGTTGTCTCCATTTTGCAGATGATGAGAAAATTGAGGCTCAGGAAATCCACGATATGTTCAGGCTCACAAGTGGCATAGTAGGTTCAAATCCAGGTCTCACTCCAGACTCTCTTTGCAGCGCACCAAGCTGCCTCCTTTATTTTTTTTATTTTATTTTTTCCTTTTTGTCTTTTTTCATGACCGGCAACGGATCACAACCCTCAGTGTCGTGCCCGTACTGGACCGGGACCGGCAACGGGATTGCAACCCTCGGTGTTGCTCCCACACCTCGCTCAGCCAGTGAGCGGCCGGTCTGTATGTGGGATCCGAACCCTCAGCGGGAGTGCCGCCGCGCTCCCAAGCGGCACACTGTAGCAGTGCGCCACCGGGCCGGCCCTGCCTCCTTTATTTTATCTCTGTTGTTCTTTGGAGCTACCCAGTGATGTGAGATCAGGCAACAGATTTTCAAAACTGCAGATATACAGGCTCAGCATGAGAATACGGCCTCTAAACGGAAGTCCATTTTTGCTGGGCTTCTGAGGACATCCACCTTGGGACTAACAGGCACCTGGCTTGGCTTCCCATCAGATTGCTGGTCTCAGTGACCTGCTTCACCTCTCAGAGCATCACGTCCCTCATCCTGAAATCGGACTAGCAATCCTTACCTTGCAAGGCTGTTTTGGGGTCCTCATGGGTCCTCTTTGTGACAACACCATGTCCATGGCCAGGCCTGATGCAGGCAAGAGGCTACTCTTGGTTTTTGTGGACCAAGCGTCTTTTAGAGGTCATCTGGTTGTGCACCTGGGAACCCCACTTTACCTTGGCTTGGGGATGATTTCTCCATGGCCCGCAGAGGTGGGAGAAACATTCAGAACAACAGCGTGGCTCAGGAAAGCGAGCTAACATTTGCAGAGTGGAACTTCTGTGCCAGGTGCTTTGCATATATTATCACACTCCATCCTCTTGGCACCACCAGGCAGGTGCTATCTGCATCCCCATTCTGCAGATGAGGAAATGGTAGCCCAGGGGGTGACGTCACTTAGCCCGGGTGACACGGTACTGAGTGAGGCTCGGATTTGAACTCAGATTTGTCTGAATCCAAAGCTGGGGCATTTTCCCTGTACCTTGCTCACTGTGGGCCAGAGGCCAGAGTCTTTGGCTGTTTAATTGAGACACTCAGGACAGCTGGAGGACTGGCCTGACCATCATTTAATTTAGACTGTTCTTTGCATTCTCTTCAAGGAGGTGCCTGGGGCCTTGCCTGGTTGGGGACAGGCTGGCCTGGCCTCATTGATTCTCCCCCGTCCTCCTTCCCTGCCTGCCACCTCCAGTGCAGAGTTCACTGGGACCACGCAGGACCTGGCCGCCCTGTAGGCTCCAGCATGGGGAATGTGGGGGGACTTTCCACTCCGGTGCATGAAGCCACTGCCACCATGCGCCGCTCCGAATGGCTCCAAACGCCATAAAGCAGCTGAGAAAAAATGACGGCGGCAAGGAAACGAGCCATGGAGGAAATTAACTTGCACCCAGGGAGCTGTGCAGCTTTCTGCTGACAGAGAGGGCCGGCTACCCCATAAAACTAAACACTTAAACTCTCCTCTTTACAATAATTACAGTGCCTGGAATGCCTCTTCCCCCTGCCCCGGCCCAGGCTGGTTCCTTGCAGGGCACCAGGGGGGGACCCATGGGTGGGAGCTGGGGCTTGAGGGGGGAAGGGGTGGGAGCAAGGGTCCCCTCAGCAGGGAGGGCTGGCCTGAGAATGTTAGAGCTGGATGGGAACTTGGGGACCAGCTGCTCCAGCCTCCTTATTTGACCTATGAGGAACCTGAGGGCCCAGAGAGGGTCTGTGACTAAGTGAAGGTCACCCAGCTAGTTAAAGGCAGGACCAGACTCAAAGCAGCTCCTCTCCCCATGGGCAGTGAGAGGAACCATTTCCCCAGACTCACTGTCCCATCCACATGTATTTCCTGAAGGCCCTACTTACGCCAGACCCTGTGCGGAGCTCGGGTAGAAAGACAAACAGGCTGGCCTCACCCTCAACTAGAAGATGAGCTTCCGGAGGCCAGGGCCACATCTGTCCCCTTCCCACTGTGTCTTAGCCCCTAGAATAAGGCAGAGTCAGGGAAAATGAGCATCCTCTTTAGCCCCTGGCCATCTGGGGCAACGCCCAGAAGATGTGGAAGCTGACTAGAAACTCCCGACAGTGGAGGCTGTGCCTGCCAGAAGCAGCGGGTGTTAGAGCCTGAGCCTGGAGGGCCCTGCAGGGGAGGCGTCCTTTGCTGCAGGTCCCAGACAAGGCTTCTTAGAGCAGCAACAAACTGCTCTCCAGGCCTTCGGTCCCGGCTTCTAGCTGCTTTTGCCCTGCCTTCGGGGCTGCCTGGTGGCTCTGCTGGGGAGGACTCCTGCCATCTGTGGCCCCGTAACCTGCTCCCCAGGCCCAAATCAAGCCAGTCCCCTCCAACCCTCACCCCCAATCCTCACTCAGACCCCTCCCCCAGCTCCAGCCTTCCTCTCCCGCTTGGCTTGGCATGTGGCTGCCTTCTGTACTTCACACCCCCCCACACACATCCCCCTCCCCAAGTAGGGGACAGCTGTTGTTTTTTCCTGCAGGCATCGTCCCTCTCTGTGGGACCACTCCCCTCCCCCTTGCTCAGTCCTTGAGCTTCGGAAGGAGCTGATCACTTGGGGATGGGGGTGGTGGGTGCATACCCCAGGCCTGGCCAACCAGTGTGTCGTGTCACCTTGGTTACCCGAGAGTAGTTTAAAGCTCTTCAGGGAACCCAAAGTCTAATGAAAGTGACTCCTGGGATCACAGGAAGAGGGCCCTATCTTTCTACTGGAATTGCTGAGCTGGGGTGTATACCTGAGGACTTGAGAATGAAGCCAATGCAGAAAAAACAGACCTGAGATGGGGACTGACTTATTGAGCACCTGGATCCAGCCAAGCCTGAAGTTATATGAGCCAGGAAATAATAATAATAATAATAATTATCATGATTATAATTATTATTTCATGATTGCTATTTTGCTCCAGCTAGTTGAGTTTAGTTTCTGTCTCTTGTAACCAAAAGATTCTAATATGGCAGGACCTCTTATTGGGGACCCAGCTAACAGTGTGATGACCTCTCCGCAGTTCCTTCTCACCCAGGAGGTCCACAGTTTCTGGCTCTGTTATTTTACTCCCTCTACAAACAAAAGGCTGGGTCTTTTTGCTGTGTTCTAAGACTCTGCTGTCTGTTGCTCTGGGGCAACTTTGTTGAGCAGAAAAGCTTGCCTCCCCTGCCCAGCCCTCTGAAGGCCCATATTGTGACTTTTTCCTAGACCCTGGCTCCCAAGAAAGTGAGCAAGAAGCAAGCCAATTTAG